AAACCTATATAAAGCCAGTATGAAACCCTATTCAAAAGCCAAAGATACAGAAAACTTAGTCTCAATCTTGTACAACATAATTACAAATCTCGATTCAGATAATGAGTTCAATAGAAGCTACAATAAGCAGATTGTACAAACAGCTACCAATACCAATTCCAGCTCTTTACAAGACATAGACACAGGTTATACAAACACCAGTACAAGTAACAATACTACAAACCTTGTACTATCTACAAACAAACCCCCTAACGCCAATATAGTACCCAGGCCTAGTATATCTACTAATCAGATTACACAGCCCATATTCTCTGCATCTGGTTCTAACTATACCCCAGTAGTTCTCAGCTTTAAAGCTAACCACAAGATATCTCCACTTGCTATAACTTTTTACAAAGCTACTAAATCTCTAACTAACAACACTGCTAAATCTACTAATATACAAGCTAGTATATTAACAACTACTACAAGACCTATATATAGCCAAGTTACCCAAACAAATCTTAATTTGCTTAAAACAGAGGCCCCGGAAGATGAAATGGTATGGGCTAATGAAGTATACCTCAAAACCATCACATCTATCAATATACTCTTCGATACCGACCATTAGATAGTGAAAAAAATTGCCAAAGTACTTTAAACTCCTGAAGGCATCTATGAACTTACTAGTCACAAGCTTGTTACTATTTCAATACAATATATACTCCCTAAAGCAATTGCGCTTAAGTTCACTCACCAGGATACCAGATTCTTTACTACTTTTACACGTAATCCCAAGACCACCCCCGCATACCAAAAAGAATACAATGAGATCTTCAACAGAGCCTTAGCAGTATATAAACACAATCATGAAATTACCCTTACTAATACTGCTACCTGTGATACCATTTATGCAATGCTTAAAAAGTGGCTTATAGCCTAGTACCTTTTAAACCTTAACTTCAACAAAACTATATACAGGGGCATATGCAGTGCTATCCAGTATGCCAGAGATCAAGAATACTAGTGAGCAAACCCCCAAAGAAATTAGAGCTCAAATCAATAGAGTACTTGAAAACAAGCTTATCCCATTACCAAACACACCAGAGGAGATATTCCAAGAGGTTCAGAAAATCCTACCTTTTCAACTTCCTATCAAACTATGATCACATATCAGAGCCGTAGTAAATACCCTAAGAAGAATCTACAAATTCTCAGAGCTCTCTAATGCATATTTTGCCAAACTTTCTCAACTACCTCCCTACTACATTGAACTTTCACCCAATTTGTGCCAGTTGTTTCCTATCTTATACAGGTTCTTACTTCAATACCTCACTATATACAAAAGAAAGCTTGCAGATTCATATACTGTCACCAAGATCCCAGATTCATACTTTGATTTACCACCCAAAAAGATACCTCTTTTTACAATATACCAGGAGCTCAATTATAAAGTCCAAAAATTCTTCTCTTTTAACCAAGCTATTTCGCTTATACTCTTAGCCAATGTTGTTTCCCAACTAAAAGAATTCTATATATTCAAGCTACTACCAAATGACTTCTTTACAGTCAAGCCCTTACTTCCTACTGATATTAGCAAGATTAGAACTAAAACCACTTTCAACTTTCCAATTACAAATGATGCAGAGGCCAAAGAGTTTATCAGGCAAATCTCTTCTTATTACAAAGTTCAATTTCCCCTCCCTACCACAATTATACAAGCAAATTCTACTAACAAACCTGCTCTGCCAGATGCAGAGGAAATTACTAAACTTTATAGCATTACATTCCCAATTACATCTATACAAGAACTTACAGCTACAGCTAGACTCCTTTGCAAATACTACTACTTCTCCTAGCTTCTCTCAAACTGGATTCAGATTAGCAGTAGTCCTCCAACTAACTCTGAGAGTACCAACCCAAAGAGTCAGCATACTCTTTCAAGTATCCCAGAAGACATTGAGAAAATTATTAAGACTTTGTCCAGAGAGGAAGTTATTGTTTCACTTCCAATCAAGAAACAATCTAATATTATCTCGACTATACAAGCTCTTAGACAATTCTATACAATTAAAAAGATTCCAGACTTCTTAATGAACCTTCCTCCTCCTCTCCCAACTCCAGCTTGGGGAATATTTAGCAATACACCACCACCACCTACTTCAACTACACCCAGCATAGTACAATCTTTTGCAAAGGCCCAGGCATCTATCCCAATACCTATGGTAGAGGATATTGCTACTATGACCCCTCGTTCTAATAACACTTTAGCAGCACTTTTAACTCTAGCTGAAACTGTACCCAACAATAGCAACAACACCTTTCTGCAAACAATCCTAACCATTGGACAAACCAACTCTAATAGATACAAATGAACACCCCAATGAGTAATTTATATACTGCACAAGCACAAACCTCGCAATCTAACCTACCCATCACATGCAAGCACAAACTTCTCAATCCTCCCCACTCTAGCCACTCATACTCTCAATTTGCATACACAATATACAAAGATTTATTAATAATACCAAAAAAGAGACCTGGAAACAGTATTGTCTACAACAAAATTTAGATATTATCAGTATTACAGAAACCAAACTCTCAAGCGAGCTATTCTCATGCAAACGATACAAAACACAGCACTATACATATTTTTGGTCATGCACAGATAGCTCAAAAGCAGGAATAGCTATTATGATTTGTAATAATCTCGCTTCTCATATTTATAGCACTAGTCTAGTCTCAGGATATGCTATTGCAATTGATATCTTCTTTAAGCATGATTTCAAGTTTTGTATTATTTCTCTTTATCTTTCTAGCAATAATGCACAACTTCATCTCCAAACCCAAAACACTATAATTCAATGGCTCCAGCAGGCCAAAGCAGCTGTTATTTACCTAATAACTCTAGGAGATTTCAATGCATCTACAGACAATATCCACTCACAGGCTATTAAGTACAAACTTCTTCAATATCTAGCATATAACAACATATATGACCTGCTACACACTCAAACAAATTAGCCTACACCTGGCACAGAGCTAATTATAGTAGTGAGATTGACTTTATCTAAACCTATTAACCAATTCTCCAATACCTTACAGATTATGATACAGATGACTCTACTACTAGTACTCAAAGTAACTACAAAATTCTTACTTCACAATAGCTTTTCTTCTTTGCACAGAACCTGTATCTGGAGATATATCTTTAATTACAAAGCAATAAACCAGAAAAAATAGGAAAATTTTGCAAACCAAGTTACTTCAAATTTAAAGCAGCACAATACACCTCTTTTGCTATCTACTTCCAAGTCTCTTGAGACTACTTGGCACAATATCCAAACTATCATAATTACAGCAGCACTCCAGCACATTTCTAACAAAAAATTTGCTGTATGCAACTTCCAGCACACATTTTTACCTAAAGCAACCCAGCTACATTATAGTTTTAAAAAGCTTGAAAATATTATAAAAACTGCTAAACATGCTATCAAAACTTGTCAGGAGGCCCCAAGACACCTCGAAACAACTATAGCCCAACTTAATAGCACACATAAACTAGAAATATCCTTTCACATATACTACAGAATGGATAAAAGAAGCCAATGCGGAATAGAAGAAACTCTATCACACACATAATCTTGAAAACATTAGATAATATAACAACAAATTACAAAGGCAATTGCAAAAAGGTATACTAAGCTTCAAACTAGCTCAACCTCTATGCTCAATAGTATTCTAAACTGGCACAAAAACTCAGTTAAGTTTGACAATATCAAACTGGACCAGAAAATAATTACAGACCCTTCTGATATTAAAGCACATATATAACAACACTTCAATAACTGGACAGCTCTTTACCCAATTAATCAAAATATATTTGATGCAGATTGGCAAACAGAATATGACCCCAAACCTTACATCTGTCAAGACTGGTATTAGGAAGTACTTGCAAACCTGTCTCAAGAGGAAATTCTCACCACAATAAGTCAACTACCTAACAACAAAGATTGTAGCCCTCTGGCATAAGCTACGAAATGCTAAAGCAAGCAGGCTCTAGATTTTTGCTAACAATAACAACCCTTTTCAACAGATGTCTAATATTCCAAACAATTCTGAAACAATGGAAGAAAGGAAGAATTTACCCAATTACCAAAAAGCCAATTTTTGATGAAAATTTAACAAACACCAGATCTATTAGTTTGGTAGAACATATTAGAAAACTCTACACCAAGCTATTTACCAATCGCCTTAATAATACTCTTTCTAAGCACTCCATCTTATCTCCTTTCAACTATGTAGCACTTTCTGGCAACTCTATCTTTATCCCAATCCACATTCTTAACAACATTATAGAAGATGCAACTTGCAACTCTAATCAACTCTGGATCCTATCACAAGATATGAGTAAAGCATATGACTCAGTTAATTTCACCAATCACTGCAAAGAATTGGCATACCATGCCAACTTATTAATATTCTTAATACCTTCTCACAGACTGCTCTAATCGAGTTATTACTAACTTAGGCCTTACTAACTACTACAATGTTCAGAATGAGATTGACCAAGATAAGACTATTACCTATTATTTTGGAGAATCTACTATGATCCATTTATTACAAGAATATCTATTCATCTACCAGGCTATATAATGTGTATAGCTTGGCAAACCAGTCTAACCTAGGGATGCTAACAACTTGACTAAGTCGATGACTTTAAATTTTAAGTCAATAATCACTTCATTTATCAAGTTAGCTAACCAAGTTGATTAATAAGAAATCAGTTAACAATCAATATACCGATAATCAGATAATTAAATCATCGACTAATATTGATAGATACATAGTAAATTAATTGTATCATATGTGTATAATTATTAAAATTATTTGTATTATATATGTATAATTGTTAAAATTAATTATATCATATATATATAATTGTTAAAATTAATAGTATATAAATTGGTGATACTAAATAAAAATTTTTAACTTTAAAACTACTGGATAAAATGAATACAATGAATGAGTTCGATCAAAATTTTGAAAATTATAATAGTTTTAATGAATATATTACTAAAATGGAAGAATTAGAATATAGTGAAATGCTTAGTACAGATATGCAAATTTTTAAAATTAATAATCCTAATATTGATAGTGAAGAGGATATAAGAATCGAAGATTCTATAGTAGAGGTAGAAGATACAAGTTCAGAAACTTCTACTAGATATTCTGCAGATGTATGGGATTATGTAGACAAAGAGGATTGACATTGTAAATTTCCAGGATGCACTACTATATTTTTACCAAAGACAAGTACATCAAGTATATGGGAATATCTATATAGACATAGGTTATTAAAAAAAAAGAAATACAAATCACATTCTGAAAAAGAACAAATAGAATGATTAATTCTTTTAATTAAAAAGATTATTCAAAGTATACAACCTTTTTCTGTAGTAGATGAGCCTTCATTTCGTAAATTATTAAATAAACTTGATCCACTATTTAAAATTCCAAAGCGACAATTAATTCAAAATAAAATTTTGGATACATTTATAAAACAATATTATAAACTTAATGTAATAATTAGTAATTTTCCTGGAACTGTATCAATTACTACAGATATGTGGGCTAATATTAAAATAGAGAGTTTTCTTGCTTTTACAATTCACTTTGTTAATAAGGATTAGCACTTACAACATTTTACTTTAAAAATATTTAAATTTCAAGAATTTTATATGAAAACAGCAATTTGTAACTTTATAATGTCAATTTTGAATGAATTTAACTTAACTCAAAAAGTTGCTACTATTACAAGTGATAATGGAGCGAATGTAGTTAAAGCATGTCATCTAATAAAAGCAAAACTTGATTCTGATGAGTTTACACATTATCGTTGTATTTGTTATATACTTAATCTTGCAGTAGGAAGTAGATTAAAACAGGTTGAGTCACTAATTAAAAAAGTGAGACAGCTAGTAAAAGCATTATGTGATTCTTATACATATTTAGAAGACTTGAAATGATTTCATTTAGTAGATAAAAAGGAATTTCTTCAACCAATTCTTGATATTAAAACTCGCTGGAATTCTACTTTTTATATACTAAAATGAATACTAATTCTTAAAGAATATTTAAATACAATTATACTACATCATCCAGTATTATAAGATCTTTATTTAACTCAAAGTGAATGGGATTATATTGAAATTTTAATGAAATTATTAAATCAATTTGTTATTACTAGAAAAGAATTGTCTGCACAAAATTATCATACAATTGCTTATGTGCGAATTATTTTACTTAGCATTTGTAAAGATTTAAAATCTTATAACACTGCTAGTAATTTATTAAAAGAGGTCTCTGTAGCAATTTATAATAAATTGCAAAATTATTGGCAACATATTGATGAAATATCACATGTAGCTGCATTCTTAGATCCACACTACAAAATGTTTTGTTTTCCTGAAAAAACAATTTAAGAAATTTTTAATCCAATACAACGCTGACTTCCTATAAGAAATACAAATGTAACATCAATTTGAAAAGTATTAATATTTGTAGCATGATTAATACAAAATTCATCAGACATACAACAAATTGATAAAATTCAATATTATTGGAATCTCCCACTTTATAGTGATGATATTGAACTATTAACATGGTAGAAAATGCACCAAGATGAATTTCCACTATTATCTAATCTTGCACGAAATTATTTAGCAATTCAAGCAAGTTCAGTGCTTTGCGAACAGTTATTTTCAATTGCTAGAGCTATTATTAGTAATGCAAGAAATTAATTAACAAGTGAAAATGCTTGTGTATGCCTTTACTTAAAGAGCTGAATAGATAAGAATATTCTAGGACCTGGATTTGAAAGTATGTAATAATCATTTAATTAGTTTATTTTTATAAATTTTCTATGCTAAATTTCATTTTAATCTATTAAATAGATAAACAAATAAATATTGAATAAAATAGTATTATATTTATACTATTTTTTTATTCTTATTTTGCTATAACAGTTTTAGTATATCAATATTTCACAATTAGTGTGATAATAAATTAGAACAATAAAACTAAAAACCAATTGTTTATTATATAGTTATTGCTTATATTATAGAGTTAAAAATATAGTAATATAAGCATAGATAAATTTTAACTAGCTTCGGTAAATAAATAGCTAAAATCATGCAGTAATTTGAAGATGTACTAAAAATATTTGTAATAGCTTGAATGAGATTATTACAGCTTATAAATTCTTTGCTTTTATTGACAATAATAAATAGATAGTGTTTTATATATTATATATTTTATATTTAAATTCAAGAATCTTCAGTATTATATATCAATATATATATGAAACAATAGTAAGCTCATGTGATCGGCTAAAAGTCAACTAAAGTTAACTCTGAGATAAAAGTCGGTACAAGTTGAGTCAAAGTCAGTCAAGTCGAGTCATTAGCATCTCTAGTCTAACCTCACCTTCTACCAAGCAACTACAGTGCTTCATATCAGTCCTTGCATATATGGATGACACTCTCTAGATAGCCCAATTCAGTGAAAGCCTTAACAGAATTATACAAACAGCTTCTTCCTTTTATAACATGGCAAATATTCAAATTAACACCTCCAAATCTATCTTTATATCTAACCATCTAGCTGCTAATATCTCCTTTATACAATCAAATCTTGCTTCTATTCCACCTACATCAGCAAAAATAAATAGGCGTAAACCTCCGCAAGTTTTTACGCGAGCGTAAACTTACGAAAATTTACGATTA